TGAATGCTCTATAATCTCGATTGAATGTCCCAAAAATGCAAGCCATATTTCGAATGCATATTTGTTCATGTTGATAAAAAGCTTATATTTCATGGTTATTGACTAAAGCTGATAAATTAAAAAAAGAATAAAAGAAAAAAAAATGGCAGATTTGAATAAAACTGCAAAATTTATGTATGTTTATGTTAAAAATTATATTAACTATATTTTATAATGTATATCTAAAATGTATATTAAAAATCTGTTTAAAACTTTAAAATATTTTGAAAAATAATGATTTTATAAGATGTTAATTTTTCTATTTTCTATACTTTCACACGAGACTTTCTTTTTTAAGTACAGTATAAATATAGAAACTTTTAGAAAAATCCAATAAATATCTACGAGAATTTCTTTGTCATGGTTTCCGAGTCAGATGGAGAAAATGAAAGAACTTCATTGAACGAGCTTTTCTTTTGATCTATTTCAAAACGGAATTTCGTTTCGAGGGAAAAGTAGCTTGAAATCATTCGGGGAAATCAAGGGATATTTCACTGTCGAGTCAGTTGTAATCTCTTGTATAATCATTACTTTTGATTTTCAAACAATTTCCGTACTTAAAAAACTAGTCACTTGCGCGGAAATTTGCATCAATCAAATTCAATCAATTTAGGAATTATTGTGAATCATTAAACTTTATGTGATTCCTAGTTTTTAATTCTCATTTCTAATTTAATTTTAATTTAAAATTGAAATTAAAATTAAAATTAAAATTAAAATTAAAATTAAAATTGAATTAGAAATGAAAATTTTAATTTTAATTTTAATTTTCAAATTCAATCACTGACTCAACAGTAAAACAGAAGTAATTCCTTAGTGCGAAAATTTATTATCGTAAAATTGAATGACGTATCAAGTACCAAAAAATGTGACAAGTAAATAAAAAGTAAAAGGAGTGTAGATTGATAAAAAGTTGCTCATTTAGCATAAATATTTAAAACTAGTGCTATCAATAATGTGATTTATTATACATACATAAATATATATTGTCAAGTTGTATTAAATGTGAATTTTTAATAGAAAAAGAAAACTTTGTGCGTCCATGAATTTTATTAAGAGAAATGTAAATAAAAATCATCTTCTATATAAAGATAAAGTACATTGTTTAATTTTTTGTTCAACGATTATCAATTTTTTTTTCTTTCTTTTTTTTGCTGCAAAGAAGAAACTTTTAAGTTACGCAAAGTAACAGGTTGTATAAATGTTTTAGATAACGGTTATTCGCGAATACATACATTTTTATGTATTCAGTTCTATCGATTTTCAATTTTATTCCTTGCCATTTACGATTCTTATTATACTTTTAGGATACTTTGAGAATTTCTTCTTCTTTTTTTTTTCTTTTTAAATGTGGTCAATGTCTGTTTAATTTTTAACACAATGTTAAAAGTTTTATGTGAGTAATAAGTGCGGTTTTTTTTTTCTTATGGGTTATAGAAGACTCGATCCATGAAATATTATTGCAGAAAGTAAGTAGAGAGCCTTCTTCATGACGAGATTAAATTTTCAAAGTGCCGAGTGCAACGATCAAATAACCTCGTATTATTGTTTAATTGAACTTTTCAGATTCGTTTCACACGTATGTAATAAGTTTACTTGCTTTTTTTCACTCGCGTCAATATTTAGCTTCTACAGGGTTGCCACAGTTTAGGGAAATTGGAAAATTAAAGGAATTTTTATTAAAAATACTGGGAAAAAAATGAAATTTTTAGAATTCATGAAAAAATTCTAAATTTATGTGTCTAGAAAGCTTGGAAAATATTAAAAAGAAATCTTTTTAAATTTATTATTATTATGTCTTATAAACTTTAAAATCACAAAAAAGACAAAAACAAAACAAATTTTTTTGTTTCTGACAATATTTGAACTTTACAGAAATATGAAATTGAATGTATTTAGATTTTAAATAATTTCATTCTCGAAGAACAATTCTAAAATTATTCAATGAATGATTTTACATAAAATTTTCAAAATTAAATCAATTTTATAAGAATTGCATTTACAATTTTCATAAATAATTGAATTTCAAAAGGTTTCAATGTTAAATTCAATCAAAATTATTGAATTTTGAATGAATTTAAGTAGAAATTTTTTTCACTTAGGTTTTTTTAAAATTTTAATTCAAATTCTTTTGAAATTAATTGTATTTTTTAATATATTTTATTTAATTATTAAAAATAATTGATTTAAAGAAGAATTTTAATTAAAAACACTGAAAAAGAATTAAATTGCAGAAAATTTACAAATAACAAAAAAAATTTTTAGAAATAATTTAATTTTGAAAAGGTTTCAAATTAAAATCTTTGAAAATCTGTATTTTTAGAACTTTTAATCAACAATACTGTAACAAATAAGTTTTTTCTTTAAATTTTAATTCAAATTTTTTTGAAATTAATCCATTTTTCTATTTTTAATATATTTTAATTAAAGAATTTCCAAATAATCGAAATTTAATAAAAATCAATATTGTAAAGAAGTAAAATTCAAGTATTTTCAATTAAATTTGATAAAATTTCGATTAATCAAAAAATTTTTCAATTACATTTTTAAAAATTTAACAAATTTCAAATAATTCTAATGCAAATTTTTGAAATAACTCTTTTTAAAGTCTATTATTTTCCAAAATTTTAATTCAAATTTTTCTCTAAATCAATTATTTTAAATAATTTTCACAAAATTCGTTGAGAATTCAATTATTTTAATACAGAAATTCAGTTTTTTTTTATGAAAATTAGAACTGGAACTTTTCACTTTTTTTTTTAAGTATTTAAGGTGAAAAAAAGTTTAAGGTCGGTTTCAAAAAATTTTCAGTTGAAATCTTATAAAATTGATTTATTTCTAAACAATTTTTTACTGCAAATTCCTCGAAATTCGATTATTGAAAAAAACTGAAAATTCGCTTCTAAAATTTAATTGTTTTCAACTCAATTTTACGAAATTTCATTTAATTAAAAATTGTTCAGTTAATTATATGTTTTAAAATTCAACTAAATTTTACGAAATTTCAATTAATCAAAAATTGTTCACTTAATTATATTTTTTAAAATTCAACTCAATTTTACGCAATTTCAATTAATCAAAAATATGTTCGCAGTTAATTATATTTTTTAAAATTTAATTAAATTTTACGGAAATTTCAATTATTTAAAATCTTTTTAATTAATTATATTTTTAAAATTGAACAAATTTCAAAAAAAAATTTGAACTGAGATTTTTCGAAAAACTGATTTCCTTAGAAATTATTTAACGAATAATTTTACTTTAAGATTTCAACGATAATTTAATCTTATAAGAGTTGCATTTTCAATTTTCATAAATAATTGAATTTCAAAAGGTTTGAATTCAAAATTTTAGAAAATAATTGAATTTCAAAAGAATTTACATTAGAAATTTTGTTGAACTTAGTTTTTAGAAAAAATTGAATACAAACTTTTTTGAAATTAGTCGAATTGTTTAATATACATTATTTAATTATTAAAAACAATTAATTTAGAAAAGAATTCTTTGAATATTAGAAAAAAAGAATTAATTTAGATTGTAATTACACTCTTAATTAATTCTAATAATTAAATACACTAAAAAATAATTTAATTTCGGAGAAGTTACAAATAATACAACAATATTTAGAAATAATTGAATTTCGAAAATGTTTCAAATTAAAATCTTTGAAAATCCGTATTTTTATTAATTTTAATTATTATTTCTGTACTAATAATTTTTTTAAACAATTCTAACACAATTTTTTTTTAAAGTATTTGAATTTTTTCTATTTTTTAATAATTAAATTGTAGAATTTCTAAATAATCGAATTTTAATAAAATTTAATTGTAAACAAGTGTGAGTGTTTCAGTAGCAATTTTTCTAAATTATAAAATTGCAAATGATTTGAAATTAAAATTTTTTGGAAATCTTAATTTTTGTGAAAATTTTCCCACAAAAATTAAGATTTCCAAAAATTTTAAATTTCAAAACATTATAAATATTTATTTAAAAAAGAAGTTATTGATGTTTTGGAATAATTTTACAAGCAAAGAAATTCGCAAATAAAAAAATTAGAACTTTCTTAATTGTATCTAATCATTTTTAGAGTAAATCCGCAGAATATTTTTTAGTCCGGGATATTATTATTATTATTGCAGGTTTTTTTTTCCCTTTTTTAATATTCACTGCAAGTGTATCGCATAAAAAAAAGTTAATTTAAAAAATGGCCTCTGTAATAATTGACTTTTTTTTTTTTTTTTTTTTTTTGACGAAAAGTAAATATTTATATTGACCCTCTGATGGAATTAACATATTGATAGGCAAATAAACTTTTTATTAGTGGTTTTCCTCCACTATATACATATATACATATATATACCTACGAATTCGTGATTTTGTGACTGTCTTGAATAATTATCTCTGATTGGACATTGAAATGAAACGAACGTGCTGTTTTGCCTTTTCAAATTATTTACGTTAACAATTGTGTGACGAGGCCCTACGATTTCTCTTTTAAGTACAAGGACAGATATCGCACAAGACGACTTTTCAATAGACAGGAAGCATTTCCCCCGAAAACCGGACTAGACTGCATTCCTTACGCAATACAAAAGACAACCATCCTGACTTTTCCCAAAAAGGACTAAAAGGGCAGATTGATGTTGACTGGCATACGTGTGAGACGCATTTTCTCTCCGCTTTAAAATAAAAGTGTAAAATAACAAGTGTTTGTTTTATAATAAAAAATAAAGTATTAAATTAAAATACTAATTTATTATTTTCCCGTCACAAAATTGGCGATCCTGCCAGGATAGTTCGACACGATTACGATCAAAATCGACTATCTTAGTGCGAACCAGTGGAAAAAAAGAGAAAGTTTTGTGAAAAAAAAATTATTATTGTGGAAAGTGGAAAATTATTTTTGTGAAAAAATATATACATATATATATATAATTATTTTGTGAGAAATTATTATTGTGAAAAATTATTTTTTTTGTGAAAAAAAATAATTGTGACGGATTATACGGTGAAATTTTCACTGGAAATCACCGGAAAACACGAACTCGGGCCGAATTAAGTAAGTTCGACAGTGATTCCGTGGGTGTAAGTCCTAGAAAGGGTGTGACGTCACCCAACCAAGTTGGCAACGAGGGAGAAAAATTCTTACGAGGACACTTTTCCAGCCCAGCTGTTCAACTTTTCAACGTGAGCTCTCTACGGAAAATTCACCAAACCAGTAAGATAGTATTTACATTATAAGTATATGTTGCTATTAACTCCGTAAATAGTCTATATTGCGAAAATAAAAATATAATAACAAAATTTAGGGAAATTTTATATTTAAAACAATTTTTTACGCTGGCTTTTAAATCTTATCTTAGGCATTTATCCGGTTACGAATCCGCTAATAATCAGTGTTTACAACCAACCCAAATTAATCCCAATCCCTTTAATCTTTCAAACACAAAAATGGCAACAGTTAATTTAGAGACAATTGCTAATAGTCTTAAAGAAATTGTTTCTAAAGTAACAGTAATCGAGGAAAATCAACATAGAATAAATTCAAGCCTCGCGATTCTTAACGACGAAAATATAAAACGCACAGAGGAAATAAAAATTTTAGCACGACAAAACAACGCATTGCTAACCGAAGATGACGACACCGAGAATGAAAATAGTAATAAGGAAAATAGTCAAGAAAGAGAAAGTTTCGCGGACGATAGAAGAGACTCGTCGAACAGACATCGCAACGGGGTATCTCCAATACTTCAAACGAACGTTGTCCCTGTTAGTTTGCTACCTGCTAAAGATATTATCCGTACAGTTGAAACCCTCAATGGTAAAGACGATATAGGGGTACAAGATTTCATTCGTCGCGTTAAAAAAGCAAAACAAAGATGCAGTCAACCCGAATTGTTGTTAGATTTTATATTGACTGAAAAAATTACCGATGACGCTAAACGTGCAATTCGCTATGTTCCGATCAATTCTTTTGATGATTTATATATTGCCTTACAACAAAATATGAATCTCGGATTATCCGTAGAATTATGTCGCGCGAAATTAGACAACTGTCGACAGGGTAGTGATACCGTCCAAGGATATAATTTGCGATTTCGGCAAGCATTAAATGAATTGAATTATGCAATACAAGCCGAACACGCAAATGCTACAGCCCGTAGAATTGCTTTGCAATTAGAAGAGACATCTGCCATAAAAAAATATATCATGAACTTACGGGATGATATTACTTTTTTGATGTGGACACTTAATCCGGATAGTATTGGTAAAGCTCAACAACAAGCTTTAGAAGTAGAAACCCGATTACGTGAAAAAGCTCGACTACGATCAGGCGCCGCGCCAAGACTGGTCCCGCGTGCGACACAACTCCATACTACATCCAATCATTCTACAAACCCAAGGCCTTTCTCTAATAGTGGAAATCCATCAAGTTCACATCGGCCTATCGGGGCACAATGCAACTTTTGCAAAAAAAGTGGTCATTTAGAGAGCCAATGTTATCAAAAAAGAAATCAACAGAATTTTCAATCAAACCCCCAATTAAAACGACCACCAAATCGAGTTCATTTCACGACCGAAACATCCTCAGCGGAGGAACAAATCGGAGAAACACAAACACCACAGGAAACGACGGAACATTCATCGATAGAATTACACGAATTTCCGGACGACTACAATCAGTGTCAGTACGACCAACAGGATTTGCTCGACCCTTGCGATTACTTGTGGACTCCGGTTCATCAATAAATTTGATAAAAAATTCTTTACTTCCTCCATTAATTATAAAAGAAGCCTGTAAAAAAGAATTCCAAATGGGGAATTGGAAACAATTTTCCGAATTTAAAGTCGAGATTAATTATCTAAACGAAGCTCATACGTTTTACATCGTAAATGATGATTTCCCTCTTCCTGAAGATGGTATAATGGGATTGCCATTTATGCAAAGTTACAATTACAGTTTATCAAACGTTAACTTAAAGTTAAATCAGCAGAAACATCCACTAATCGATGACGGGTATATTATCCCGCCAAATCAAATCAAATTGATCAACATCCCTGTATTTGAAAAAAAAGGTGATGTTGTAATTTTTGATAATCCACACATTCCTGATTCTATCTATTCAATAAGAGATCGAACGATCACTGTTCCCATTTGTAACAACTCTTCGCAATTTAAACACATTAATTCCAACGAATTTAAATACCAACCTATCAAATCAACCATCCCTGACGAAGAAATTCATCTTATATCATGCAGCGACTTATCCAAACGGTTAAATCTTTTAAATGAAAATACTCGATTAGATCACATTGAAACAGATTTTAAAGACATAATTCAGAAAATTGTACACACTTATCACGATATATTCAGACTGCCTGGAGACCCTTTACCAGGAACACGACTCGCAAGCCATAAAATAGTTCTAAAAGAAGATAAAATTATTAATAACCGGTCATATAAACCTCCAGAATGTCATAAAGTGGAACTTACAGATCAAGTTGAGGATTTCTTAAAGCAATTTATAATAAGACATTCAGATTCTCCTTATAATTCTCCAGTTTGGATAGTCCCTAAAAAAACAGATGCATCAGGACAAAAGAAATGGCGAGTAGTCATAGATTTCCGAAAGATTAATGACATTACCGATCAGGATTCATATCCACTGCCGGTTATTGAGGATATTCTTGATACCCTTGGTAAAGCAAAGTTTTTCTCTGCCTTCGATCTTAGTGCTGGATTCCATCAGATTCCCATGGAAGAAAGTTCAAAAAAATTTACAGCTTTCTCTACTCCAGAAGGTCATTTCGAATTCGAACGCATGCCATTCGGATTAAAAAATGCACCTGCTACTTTCCAGAGGATGATTAACAATGCTTTGAACGGGTTAATCAACAAAATTTGCGTCGTATATCTAGATGACATTGTAGTTTTTGGATCTACCATAGAAGAACATAACAAAAACTTAGTTACGCTGTTCGAAAGATTACGCCAAACTGGTCTGAAACTTCAGCCCGATAAATGTGAATATCTTCGACCAGAATTAGAGTATCTAGGTCACGTCATTACGGCTGAAGGCGTTAAACCGAATCCAAAAAAAATTACGGCTGTTACGGAATTCCCAAAACCCAAGAGCGTTACCAACATTAAATCATTTTTGGGACTTTCGGGGTATTATCGCAAATTTATAAAAGGATATTCCACAATCGCTAAACCTCTTACGGAACTGACGAAAAATACTAAGGAATTTATTTGGACTCAAAATTGTCAAGATTCATTTGATAAATTGAAAGATGCTCTCTGTAGTGCGCCGGTGTTAAGATATCCCGACTTCGAAAAGGAATTTGTACTTACGACTGACGCCTCCAATGTAGGGTTAGGAGCCATCCTGTCTCAGGACGGGCATCCTTGTTATTACATATCTCGTACCCTCAATGCACCTGAACTGAATTACACCACGACTGAAAAAGAGTTACTTGCAATAGTATGGGCAACAAAAAGGCTCAGACAATACCTATTAGGCAGGAAATTTAAAATCCTCACGGATCATCAAGCACTGAAATGGCTATTTAACGTAAAAGACCCTTCATCTAGATTAATGAGATGGAGACTAAAAATGGAAGAATATGACTATGAAGTTGAGTACAAGAAAGGTTCGGAGAATACCGCTGCTGATGCATTATCTAGAGTACAACCAATCCACGAGTTAAACGACGACGCAGACACTACAAACGCTGAATTTGATTTGGAATCAGAATTACCTGATATCGAAACCATTGAAACACCTCAAGAGCCTGATTTAAATACACCCGTACCTTCACCTCAAAATAACGAAACAATTCCAGGAGCGTTGTTGCAAATCCCATTAGAATTGCCTACTGAAGATAATACAGGTGACAATGACGAAGACCTTGTCCACTTACCACCAACAACACCTGTCAATAATGAAATACTACAAGAATACTACAGGTGGTCTGAAAACAAGACAGACACACGTGAAGTAGAGAAACCTAATGCCAATGGAAAATTATGGAAAAGATTTACTAAGAGACCAACTAACGATTTGAATTGTATCACATTACCCCAATACTCTGACAAAAGTTGGCTTAAAAAATTAATCGAAATCACGGAATGGTGTGTATCAAAAAAATTAAGTATTCTCCGCTTACATTTTGACGATCCAACTATCACTTCCATAGAACGCATAAAACTTAAGACGTTGATAGCATTCATTAGTTTTAAGTACCCACAATTAAAAATTCTCAGTTGTTATAATTCTACCACAGAGCTTACCTTAGAAGAACGAGAAAAAATAATCAATGAAAGTCATGGATCAATAATGTCTCAACATTTTGGAGAAAACAAATCAATTCAGAGGGCCAGAGAATTAGGAACATGGACCAACATGGAAGACGATATTATAGATTTCATAAAAAAATGCCACACCTGCCAAACCCACAAGCTAAACCGTATTAAACGACGCTCTGAAGCTATTATCCCTGACACGCCAACGACACCTAATGACAAAATCGCAATGGATATATTCGGTCCCCTGCCAATCACTTCTCAAGGCTACGAATATATATTATCTATTCAGGACATGTTAACTAAATACCTTGTACTCATTCCTTTAAAAAATACCCAATCCGAGACAATAATTGAGCAACTTTTTGATCATTTTATTTATATATTCGGATCACCAAAACACATTTTAACAGATCAAGGGCAGAATCTAGTATCAGAACTGGTGCAAAATTTTGAAAACTTATTCAGAATTCAACATGTTAAAACAACTGCGTTCCACCCTCAAAGTAACGGTGCTCTAGAAAGATCTCATGGTACCATTAAGGATTTGATAAGAACAGCGATGGCAGATCTACATACTGAATGGGACTCGACACTTAAATTTATCTGCATGGCCTATAATACTATGACTCACGAAGGCACCGGTTTCAGTCCTTTTAAGCTCACATTCGGAAGAGACGCGAATGTTCCGTCAGCATTAGCTACAACACCTAGTTTAAAATATCCGGAATTAGTACGATTATGGCAAGAAAGACATGAAAGATATATTAGGAAAGCTCAAGAGCAAATAATGAGGGCAAAAGAAAAATATAAACGAATTCAAGACGCTAAAATTGTTTTGCCCCAGCGTTTATTTGACACAGGTGATCTCGTAATGCTAGAAAACACGAAAGAAAACAAATTAAGCCCTGATTGGAAAGGTCCTGCTGTTGTTATAAAAGCTCTCCCCAAAAATAATTACGAAATATTATTTAACAATAGTCGATTCACTATTCATGCTGACAGGTTGAAAACATACAACTATTAAATTTCAGGTACAACATGTTTCTCATCTGGATATTTATAATAATTGAAGGGGTTCAAGGAAACGTCGTAACCAGGTCGTTAAAAGGCACCACCATCTATGCCGAAAATCTTGGAGTCACAAAAATGTATCACCAGACTTGGAGACTTATATTAGGGATAGACGTCTCTGGTATCAATGACCATTTTCAACAAATTCAAGAAAACTACGAAAGGAGTCTCAAAATGTGTAACCGTTGCTCAGAAGAACTAACATTGAAAGCATTGAATAATAGGATTGTTAGGTTAGAAGAGAGTAAATCGGTTCTGAACCAAATGCTTGGAGTTGGACGTAGAAAGAGAGGATTCTTAAACATCGTTGGTACCCTGTCTAAAACTCTTTTTGGCACTTTAGACGAAACCGACTTAACTTTGATAAACCATGAATTTGATTCCATATATTCTGATAACAAAATTCTTGCTGACACACTCGGGAATCAAACAAGGATGATAAAATCTTGGCTAAGTTCAACATCTCATGATTTACAACTAATGAAAGATCACTCCATTAGTTCTGTCAGCGAATTAAATAATATTCTCAATGCTACTAATGCTAATCAACAAAACCTCCTTATTTCCAATATTATTACTTTGTGCAGTATGGCTATAAGTGAATTGAGTGAAGAACTCAATCTTATTATCGATGCCATAAACGACGGTAAACATGGAATTGTCCACCCCCAAATATTGACGCCTTCCATTCTCATACGGGAACTGAAACAGTTCGAAGATTCTTCCAATACTAAATATCCCATTCGTCTCATTACGCAAAATTATCAACACATCATCGACATCTCCGAGGTCTCAATTGCCATTACAAACAAAAGGCTTGTATATGTGTTACGAATACCAATCTTAGAATATGAAGATTTGCAAACACTTCACTTAATCCCAATTCCCATCCAACATGCAAATGGATTCATAGCTCCAATTCCTACCCATGAAATTATTTTAGTAAACACTGAAAAAAGCTTCTACATCCCTAGCGACATGTTTGCGCTACGACAATGTAAAGAAACTAACGATCTGAGAGTTTGTAAACGCGTTCAACCTTCTTATTTAATCAGCGAAGTACAAAGTTGCGAAACTAATATTCTTAAAAATCAGAATAAAGTTATCAACGACCACATGTGTCAATTCTCTGCTTTTCAGATTATTGAAGTAGTATATATACCATTGAAAGATCCTAACCAATTCATTATCATTCCACAAAAAGAAGTAGAATTAAGCGCATTATGTAATTCACAATCTCAAACAATTGTAATAACAGAACCTTCTTTAGTTTATAGTAAAACTGATTGTATTCTACAAACTCCAAAATCTATATTAAAAATGCATCAATCCATGGAACGACGAACTGATATTATATATAAGAAAAACATATCGTACACAATTGATCAGGCAGACTTTGAATTGTTAACTTCACAATTACCCACTGTACAAGACTCACTTCACCACGAAAACTTAAAATTTCTACGACAAAACTTAGATTTAATGGAAAATTCACTACAAAAAATAAAAAATCGACGCAGAAATAAAACGTGGATAGAAAAGGGAACAGATTTTATAACTTATTTAGGTTATACATCATTGTTAATTGTATTTTTGTTTACCATGTATAAGATAGGATTTTGCGAATTACTTAGCAAATTGATACCTAAAAATTTGTGTATAAAATTGTTCTGTGTAAATGCTAACGTAAATGCCACGCCAGTAGTCCATTATGCTTCCGTTGCTTCCGCCCCTGAGCAAGTAATGACAAATGATCCAGTCATTGTCTCAAAGTCTGTTAGGTTGCGAACTTAGAGACTAAGTTCAATCTAAGACGGGAGGTGTGACGAGGCCCTACGATTTCTCTTTTAAGTACAAGGACAGATATCGCACAAGACGACTTTTCAATAGACAGGAAGCATTTCCCCCGAAAACCGGACTAGACTGCATTCCTTACGCAATACAAAAGACAACCATCCTGACTTTTCCCAAAAAGGACTAAAAGGGCAGATTGATGTTGACTGGCATACGTGTGAGACGCATTTTCTCTCCGCTTTAAAATAAAAGTGTAAAATAACAAGTGTTTGTTTTATAATAAAAAATAAAGTATTAAATTAAAATACTAATTTATTATTTTCCCGTCACAATTGTATACAAAATTACGTTCTATTGCCATCGATGGTGATAGACAGACGTGAAAATAACAACATTCAGCAAATTCTATTTTTCGCTGGTTTTATCAAAATAAAGAGAGTGACTAGTGCCCGGTGAACGTGATATAATACACACGTGATCCTGTGAAATTCAAGAACCGAACACACAAATATACTTTTAAAGTAGAGGAATTTATTGTGTTCGGTTGTTGCTCTCATAATTTAAAAAGGTTCGACTTTTTCGTATCGACTCGGTAACCCGAACACAATCTATAAGTTATTTAATAATGAAAATCAGACTATTTTCGAGGGTGTGCAAAAATAAGTCGATAGAAATAAATAAATAATAAAAATAAAATATATATGTAACTCATACGTTCCGTGTTCTCTGACAGAATATAAGGTACAATGTAATAAATGTAAAACGCGCCAAAAAAAAAAATAAAAAAATCCATAAATCATGGACCAAAAAACGGTTATCAAAGAATTTAGTGTCATGAAAAGAAAAAAATACTATGTGGCAATTATTGTGTATCCAATTGTATGTCTTTATGTGCGTATTCTGGTGTATTAACTGTAAGGTGGAGTCTGTCAATTTATTTCTGAACATTTACACTGAGAAAAATTTTTTTAAATTTAAAGTTTTTAAAAAATTTTTTTTTAAACTTTTTTACAAAAAATTTTTTTTTAGTTAAAGAAAATAGCCAACCAAACAATATGATTGAATTAAACATATATATATGTTTAATTCAATCATATTGTTTGGTTAACTATTTTTTTAATTAAAAAAAAAATTTTTTTTTCTACACTTTTTAAGTGTTGAATAAAAATTATTATGTTTAACTCAAAGATAATTTTTTGTTGACTGTATAACAAAGATATGTTTGATTCAATATTATTTTCTCAGTGTAATTTTTCATAGTTATTTTTCAGATTATTAAGAATTCACAATTTTGTCAAAAGCATTTACAAAAAAAAAAAAAAAAAAAATTATTTAAATTACAATTCTTGTAATGAAATTCGAATTAAACTCACTTTCATAAACAACAGTATTTACAGTCATAATTGTTTTACGAGGATAAATTAATTCGTTTCTAATGTCATCATAAACCAACAAAGCAAATGATATATTTGCAGTAATTACTACTTAAACAAGTAAATTCTCACTATCGCTTATAATTACATTACTTCATAAATTTTAAATTATTATCCAATTTTTATCTACTTCCATAATTTTCGTTCATAAAAAAAAAGAATTTTTTTAAATTTTCGTTCATAAAAAAAAGACTTTAAAAAAATTTTTTTTTTCGTTAAACAAAAAAAATTTTGCGGAATTACGAAAAATTATTCCTGCAAATTATTAATAAAAAGAAAATATTCGATTACAGTAATATTACGCTATTTTTATAATCAAGAAATATGAATTGCGATTTAATTACAAATTACAAAGGCGAATATAATTCACGTATTTTATGCTGAGCCCTGTTTAATAGTCTGACATATAAAGGAAACAGAAGTTAATTAATTGGCATGATTATGAAACTTTAAACATGTGTTCGCATATTTTGTAATTAATCCGAAAAGTTTACTTTTCCCTGATAATTTTGAATCTACACAATATTAACTGAATCTCGTTTAAAAGTTTCTAATCAGAGTTATATATTCTCATTGGAAAATCATTCATTTGTATGGAAACTTTTGAAATTGTTTGCTGTATTGAAAATTATTTTTAATCAAATTTTCGTTGAATTCTGTGAAATTTGGAAATGTGAGTGAAATTTAATTCTTTAATTCTTCTGTTAAATTAAAGCAAAAATGTTGGAATTAAATTTTACTGAAAGTTTTTAACGTTCAAATGAAGGAAAATATTTGCATTCATTTTTTTCAGTTTGGATTTTTTCATAGAAAATATTGTTTTTTAATTTTTAAAATTTAATTCCTGGCTGAGTAAATATTTAACTGGATTATTTTTTAATTCAGGGGCTCAATTCAATGAATTCCAAAAAAATAATTTCACAAAGAACTCCAAATCTCTAGAATTAAATTTCCCCTTCTAAGGCAGTGATAAATTATCTAGAAAGTTGAGATTTTTTATTAAACGAATGTTCATTAATGGGACATTTAATACAAGACAATCTATTTTTTCTAAGTCATTGCTGAGTTTTTTTTAAAGAATTATCGTTAAAATTTATATAAAAATATCTGTATTTTGCCTTGTTTGTTGAATATAATTTTTGTACACTTTTAGTATTATAATAATTAAATAAACATTGTAAAAGAATGAACAGACTTATACTCGAAATTCCTTGAAAAATACTTGAAGAATAATTGAAAAAAAGATGAAAAGTACTTGAAAAATCATTGAACAATATTTGAAAAGTGCTTGAAAAATACTATAAAAAAATTTTTTTAAAGTAGTACTTGAAAAATACTTTTAAAAAAATGTTTTTAAAGTACATGAAAAATACTAAAAAATACTTGAAATGTACTTGAAATGTACTTGAAAAATACTCGAAAGAATGAAAACTTTTATTGAGTAAAAACAATCTACAAAAAAATGACATTACTCCTAAAAGAGTAAAAAAAAATTTCCTCCACAGAATTTACCGTAAATTTCCAGTTTTTCAAGGAATTTAGAGAATAAACAACCACGGTGCAGACTAATTAATAGAGAATTATTAAAATTGTGTATATATTTACCTGATGCTGCGTGTGAATATAATTATGTATAATTATAGTTAATAAAAAAGCTGTGCGTACGTGAATTAAATAAGATAGCAATTAGATGATGTGTTTGAGATATTGACGCTTTTTAAAATAACTTTAAAATACCTTAATTTTGTAATGAAAAAAAAAATGAATTCTGTTTTTTTTTTCTTATTATTATAGTTTCGATGTATAATAAGTATAAATACAATATAATCCTATTGTGAATTTTTACGCGCTGAAAAAGTTGAAAACTGTGTAACTTTTTAATGATATAAAACTCCATCGAGTTCTTTTTTTATTGCTTCACGACGAAAAATTTATGCATTTTATGAGGAAAGCGTGTTGTATTCATGAACAAAAAAAAACCATCTGTTTTTGATGATCAGTATTTCTTAATAAAGAAACATGTGTTTGTAATTTTTTGTGTATTTTTAACTAGCCCCGTTCATTTTTCAATATATTTTCTATTATTTTTCAATATCGTAGTTCTTTTTATTTTTTTCAAGAATATCAAATTGAGACAAAAAATTTGTTGCGATGTAATGTTTTGACAAATTTTTTGTCTCAATTTATTTTCTTTAGAAAAAAATGTAATAAACAAAAATTTCTATTTGAATTTTTTTCAGTATTTCTTTTAAATAAAGAAATTTTTTCCGGTTTCTTTTTTCTTATCAAATTTAAATTCATTTGATTTCGAACATAAATAAATTAACAAATGGTTTCGAAAATTTTTATTCGAGTTTTTATGAACAATTAAATTCTTTTGACGAGTTTCTTTAAATTTTTTGAAAATAATGTTTTTTTAATAATTTTAATTAAAAATTTGGACAATAAATAAATTAAACAAAGAATTTTTTCAATTTTTTAAAATAATCTTTTTTGTTCACAATTATAATTGAAAATTTGATAAATTCAATTTTATTAAAATGTATTGATACTAATTAAATTTCTAGCACAGAATTTTACTATTTATAAAAGTAATTGAATCTTTCCAGAGAATGTTATTATTTATGAAAATAATGAAATGTTTGCGTAGAATTTTATAAAAATTTTTGAAAATAATTCAATTGTGAAGAACAATTTATTTATTTATAAACATAATTGAAATTTTGAGAATTTTTAAAAATAATTGAATTTCTGCGAAGAATTATATTACTTTTGAAAATAATTGAATTGTTTTTTAGAATTTTATAAAAATTAATGAAAATAATTAAATTCTTGTCAGGAATACTTTTTAAAAATAATATTTAAAAGAATTTAGTAAATCTGAAGAATTTTGCAATTTATGGAAATAATTGAATTCTTTCGACGAATTTGAATAAAATTTTTAAGAATTACATTTTTCGAGAAATTCGATTAAAATTATTGTATTAAAAATATTTGAACTTCTGCAAAGTATTTTTTACCACTTATAAAAGTAATTGAATCTTTTCAAAGAATGTTATTATTTATGAAAATAATGAAATGTTTGCGTAGAATTTTATTAAAATTTTTGAAAATAATTCAATTGTGGAGAACAATAAATTTATTTATTTATAAAGACAATTGAAATTTTGAGAATTTTTAAAAATAATTGAATTTCTGCGAAGAATTTTATTACTCTTGAATAATTGAATTTTTTCGACGAATTTTAATAAAGTTTCTAAGAATAATTACATTTTTCGAGGAATTCGATTAAAATTTTATTAAAAATAATTGAAATTCTGCAATGAGTTTTACTATTTATGAAAATAATAGAATATATTGCGAAGAAATTTGTCAAAATAACATAAGTATGGTGACTAACTTCCCTTGATTAATTTCGAAAAATTTAAAAAAAATTCTTTCAAAGAATTTTATTATTTTTAATAGATTGTAAAGAAATTTCAATTTTTTTAAAACTTTTCAATTATTTGTTTATAAAAATTCAATTATCTTGAAACAATAGAATAATAAATTAACTAATAACAAAATTTTAATTATTTATCTTTGCACTAAGAAACATGAATACATTAGAATGTGACTCTTTATAAAATTCAATTATTTATCAATTGTTAAATTAAAATACTTGAATAATTCGATTTGTTAAAAAGTTTTTAATGAAATTCTTTAACAAATTGAATTATTTTCAGTTGAATTTCACAAAATTTCTATTAATTCGATAATTTTTCAAAAATTTATTTACATACTATATTTGAATCAGTGACTGATTTTTTACTATCGAATTATTTTTAACTAATTAAAATTTAGAGAACAGTATAAATATTTATAAAAATTGAAATAAAAGGCGGTTTTTAAAAACAAATTAAAATAATAAAACTTTTTTTAATTTGCGGTGAAAAAATCAAATTATCTTTGTTATATTCAACTAAAAATTATCATTGAAGTAAAGATAATAATTTTGATTCAACGAAGTTTTTGATTCAATTAATTAAATTATAAAAAGTTAAGTTAAAGTTTAAAAAAAGTAAAAGTTATAAGTTTAATTCAAACTTTTTTTTGGCTACTTATTTTTGGATTAAAAAATTTTTTCCATGGCAAAATACAATACGAGTAAAGTAATGAAACATATTTTTAGTAAGAAGTTAACTTGTTTACAGCAGTAATAAAAGTCGGATGATTTTTAATTTTGATAACAACAAAGACTTGGCAGGTAAGTGCATAGAATTAATAAATAACATTATAAAGTAATTAATAAGCATAATTTTGTGGAAATATTTAAACTTAACTTGCTGGATAAAATTAAGAATAGATTGAGAGAGAGAGAGCGATAAAGTGTATATTAAAAAGCTTGAAGCTTATTGTTCGGTAAAGTCATTAAATGTTAACATAAGACAGTGTCCCTACCTATATTGTGCTATAAAATGTGGTGTACATAAAACGCCAATCCAGAGTTGGTGTGTGAAAAGAAAAGAATCACGATCACGAACGAAGGCAAACAAAAAACGTTAAGCTCCATACACTCGACAGGCCGTCACCGTTATTGGCCATGGCCAGCAATCTTAAGTTAA